CCGTCCCCAGCTCCCTCCTGGGTCCTAGCGCTAGACCCGTTGCTCTGCAGCCCCTGCCCCTGGGGCAGCCCGGCCCAGCACCCGGCGGGGTTCAGACAACCACACACGTGTAGGGCTGGAGGGGACCTCGACTGAGCATCCCCAGTCCCTAGGAGCCCAGCAGCGAATTGCGCGGGGCCCGGTTTGTGTTACAGTCAGAGCCTGCCCCGGCTCGGCCTCTGTTTACCTTCCCGGGTCAGATCCTCCATTGGGAGCCGGGAGCCCGGGCTGAGCCGCTGCTGCTCCCCGGCGGGGTCCGTGCGGGGAGAGACCGGCACTAACCCCCCTCCCGCCCCGGGCTCTGCCCGCCCCAGCCCCGAGCCGGAGCCTGCAGGTGATGGGGGGACCCGGGGGAAGGGCCGGGGCCGGGCGGGAAAGTGACTCTGCACCAGCGGCCCCAGATCTCGCCGCCCCGGGCAGCTGCTCCCTGGCTGGGAAGCGCCTGGCGGAGGGACCGGAGCTGCGGCCCCAGCAGCGAGTCGCCGCCCGGGCTCTGCCCAGGATCTGCCCCCGGGGCCAGCTGGGGGTTCAGGCGGGGGAGAGCGGCTGGGGGGGGCATGGGCGGGCCCCAGGGGGTTCCCTGTTGTGTTCCTGGGGCTGGGCTGTCAGGCAAGGGAGGGGTGAGAAATGAGACTGAAATGGGGGCGGGGAGGGGGAGGTTATTGTTGATCTGCAAATGTAACCCCGCTACAAACCTCCGAGCCCCTCCCTCCCCGGAGACAGGCCCCTTCCTGCCCCAGCGATGGGTGAATCTCCCCAGCACTGAACTGCTGCTGGGCCCTGTTTGCTCCATCAGAGACACCTGCTCTGAACGGGGACAGGATCCTGGTCTACTGAACAGCCCCGAGTGTGACCCGCTCCCAGACTGTATCCTAATGCCCGTGTGCCAGGCAGCCTGAATAACCTGCTACTGGTGTAGTGTGGGGGGTTATAGTGAGATCAGTCTGCTCAAATTTCATTTCTCTTCTGTATAAATAGGCTTGGACAAATTAGA